CCTTGGCCTTGGTACCCTTGGCCTTGATAGCCCTGGCCTTGGTACCCCTGGCCCTGACTCCCTTGGCCTTGGTACCCCTGGCCCTGACTCCCTTGACCTTGGTACCCCTGGCCTTGGCCATTCCATTGCCTTCCTCTTCCGCCGCCATTCCTGCCTCGCCCCTTTCCTCCACCCCTCCCTCCATTGCCTTGATTACCCTGCCCAAGGTTCCCACCCCCTACAACACTACCCTGTGAACTGGGATCAGGTGACGGTGGCGGGGCCACAGGTTGGGCCTGGGCCGCGGGGTAGATGGGTGGTGGCATACTCGTTTGCGGTCCAGCTACTGGCGGCGTACTTCCCCATGGCACAATTGCGTTGATCACCGGCGAAGGTCACTGTCCATAGGAGGGCGCCCCACCTTGCGAGGGGCCCGTACTAGATGATGGAGCCGCCACATTTAAAGGGGCTGCTGCCTGGGTTTGAGGCGCCTGCGCTTTTCCTGATCCCTGTCCGCCCTGCGCCAAATTACACACTTTGTCCTGGACCTTCGTCAGGTGTTGCGGCACCGGCTCTTCCTCTTCCCAGAGCTCCTCCTGGCCAGCCTCCTCTATCACTGGCTCTTTTCCTTTTACTTTGACAGCCGTCACCACCCTTCTTTGCACCACTGGCTCTGTCGCATACCCTAGCTGTGCCAATACGTCTGTAACAATCCTTGTTACTCCTGGCGTCCCAGAAGCGGTCGCATCTCTTTCCTTTCTCTTTTGTCTTTGCAGGCGTACCTAACGTTGTTCCACCTGGTCCAAACACCCAACTTCCACCCCTCTGTCAATGGTGGCCCAGGTGAGCTTAGTGCTACCTCCTCCATGTCTCGTCAACTCGACGGCCTCCGATGCCGTGAGTAGCCCCAGGAAGATGGCGCACTRTGCTTCCTCCGAAATCCCATGGACCTTCCGCGCCCTCTTCTTAAATTATTGAACAAAGGCCCCTATAGTCGTAAAATCCTCTTTGTTCATCGCTTCAAGGTCCGTGTTAGTCAACAACCCGTCTCCCAGACGGTATTTCCTCTGCATCCCCTCCTTGAACCTCTCCCAGCTACCTTGAGCCGCATCTATGACTTTCTTCACCTCCTGATGGTAACTGTGGAGGACATATTGAAGGATGCGTTGAAACTTTACAACATCCCGCCGCCCGACCAAAGCTTGTTCCACCCGCTCTAGCCATTCTGAGACTCTCTCCCCACAGAAATGGAAAGTATCGACCTTTGGGATGTTGCTCGGGTTTTT